GAGTAGGCCAAGCCTGCTATGGTTGTGGAGAAACCAGGCACTTCAAGAGGAATTTCCCCAAAGCAACAACTGCTGGCAACACAGGGAAGGTGCTAGCAATGGGCCAGGAGGAGGCCGTTACTGATCCCACCGTAGTTACAGGTACGTTCCTCCTCGACAACTCTTATGCATGTATTCTCTTTGATAGTGGTGCGGAGAGAAGTTTTGTCAGTCATTCATTCAAACACTTACTCAAACACAAATCCCAACCTTTAACCGAAACATTCACCGTCGAAATGGATAACGGAAAGAAAGAGAGTACTAACGACGTATTCGTAGGATGCACCCTCACTCTGAACGATTATTCCTTTCCAATCGACCTTATGCCGATTTCCATAAAAAGCTTTGATGTCATCATCGGCATGGATTGGTTGAGCCCCAATCGTGTTGATATTCTCTGTCATGAAAAAGCCATTCGCCTCAATCTGCCATCTGGCGAAGCCCTCATTATCTATGACGATAAACTCAACATGAACCTTTGTATCATTTCGTGCATCAAAGCTCAAAAATACCTACGAAAAGAGTGCCATGCCATTCTTAGCCCATGTCATCAACGAAAAAAAAGAAGTCAAAGACCTCGAGAGCATCCCCGAAGTCTGTAACTTTCCCGACATCTTCCCCGAGGATCTTCCCGGAGTTCCTCTCGAGTGCCAAGTCAAATTCCGAATCGACTTAATTCCCGGAGCTACCCCCGTAGTCAAATCACCTTACCGTGTAGCTCCAGAGGAAATACAGGAATTATCCAGTCAACTTAATGAACTGCTCAGCAAGGGATTCATTAGACCGAGCTTCTCACCCTGGGGAGCACCGATCTTATTCGTTAAAAAAGAGGATGGATCTTTCCGGATGTGCATAGATTATCGTGAGCTCAACAAACTCACTATCAAGAACCGCTACCCTCTTCGCATAATCGACGGCCTTTTTGATCAACTTCAGGGAGCGAGATATTTTTCAAAGATAGACCTGTGATTGGGGTACCATCAACTACGAGTCCTGGAGAGTGATGTTCCGAAAACAGCTTTCCGAACTCGGTATGGTCACTACGAGTTTGTAGTGATGCCCTTTGGTCTAACCAACACACCCGCCGTATTCATGGACCTGATAAATAGGGTGTGCCGTCCATTCCTAGACAAGTTCGTGATAGTATTCATAGACGAAATACTTATCTATTCACGAAACAAGGAAGAACACAACCATCACTTAAGACAAGTTCTAGAAACACTGAGAGCAGAAAAGCTTTACGCGAAATTCTCTAAGTGCGAGTTTTGGATTAAGAAGGTAACTTTATTGCGTCACATGGATAGCGAAGAAGGCATACATGTGGACCCTTCCAAAATAAAGGCAATCAAGAATTGGTCAGCACCAAAGACGCCCACAGAAATCCGTCAATTCTTGGGTCTTGATGGCTACTATCGCAGATTCATCCAAAACTTATCTAGGATTGCTAAGCCTCTTACCGCCCTGCCCCAGAAAGGTGTAACCTTTAGTTGGGGAAAAAAACAAGATACTTCGTTCCAGACTCTAAAGCAAGCCCTGTGCAACGCACCTATCTTGTCTCTTCCTGAAGGGACAGAAGACTTCGTAGTTTACTGTGATGCATCCAATCAGGGGCTAGGCTGTGTGCTTATGCATCGAGGAAAGGTTATTGTCAATTATACTACTCACGATCTTGAGTTGGGAGCAGTGGTCTTTGCGCTGAAAGTCTGGAGACATTACCATTATGGTACCAAGTGCACTATCTTCACTGACCACAAAAGCCTACAACATATCTTTGACCAAAAGGAGCTTAATATGAGGTAACGGCGAAGGGTAGAGCTACCCAATGATTACGAGTGTGAAATTCTCAATCATCCGAGTAAAGCCAATGTGGTAGCTGATGCCCTCAGCCGGAAAGAGTACGCTGTTCGCGGAGTGAAAGCACTAACCATGACAATCCATTCACATCTGGCCACACATATCAAAGAGACTCAGCTAGAAGTATTGAAGCCAGATAATGTGGCAGATGAAGCCCTGAGAGGAATGGACAAGAACTTCGAAATCAAGGGTGACGGGGTTCGTTATTTCATGGACCGGATCTGGACACCAAGGTTCGTGTGTTATCGACTTTGGCAATTCATGGGACACCCATTTGCCCTTGGTAGAGTTTTCCTACAAAAACATCTATCACACTAGCATTAAGGCTGCTCCATTCGAAGCCATCTATGGCCGCAAGTGTAGATCCCATTTGTGCTAGGCTGAGGTGAGTAACACGCAGCTAGCTAGAGGTCAAATTCATGATAGCACTCTCACTGGCCCAGAAATCATCTGAGAAACCACAAAAAGATCGTACAAATACGAGAACGACTAAAAGCCTCAAGAGATAGACAAAAGAGTTATGCCGACAAAAGACGAAAACCCTTGGAATTCCAGGTTGGTGACCGCGTTCTATTGAAGGTCTCACCCTGGAAGGGCATGATACGCTTCAGAAAGCGTGGAAAGCTGAATCCAAGATACAACAAACCATTCGAGATCCTTGCTAGGATCGGTCCCGTAGCTTACAAACTCCGATTACCACAAGAACTTAGCAACATTCACCCCGTCTTCCATGTGTCAAATCTTAAAAAGTGTCTATTCGACGAGACTCTCGTGATTCCACTCGATGAAATCGAGATAAATGAGAGTCATAACTTCGTAGAAGAGCCAGTCGAAATCATGGATAGGGAAGTCAAACGAACGAAACAAAGTTGCATCCCAATAGTGAAGGTTCGCTGGAATGCCAAGTGGGGACCTGAATTTACTTGGGAGCAAGAAGATCAGATGTAACAGAAGTATCCACATCTCTTTCCCTAGTCCATTTTTGTATTCATTATAGAATTTCGGGACGAAATTCCCTTTAACGGGGGGATGATGTGACAACCCGATACTTTCTAGTCAACAAAAGTCAATTTCCGTTAAATAAAATGTCAAATTTTGTTTATTCCACTAAGATTTTGTGGGTTAGGAAATAATCTAATATATATAAATAAAGTTTATATAAGTTTTAGGAACAAAGAACACTCGAAAAATCCAGTTTCCTTCGAAAAATCAGCAATATCGTTCAGCCCAGTGTTTACGGTCGCAAACCTGTTTACGGCCGTAAACTCAACCAATATATATTTTCCCGGAGAGATTTCTCATTTTTCATCATTTTCACTCAAATCCTCTCAAATTTCTCCCAAGAACATTCAAGCCTTCAAGATCCAACCTTCAAATCTTCAAGTTTTTCACCAAGAACACCAAGAACATATTCAAATCTTCAAAGGCCGAAAACCATTCAAAGGCCGAAAACCGTTCACGGCCGAAAACCATTCACGACCGCAATCAGTTCACGACCGAAAACCATTCACGGCCGCAAACAACCCTGAATCGTGAATCTTGGCTGCAAACTCTCGTTTTCCACAAATACAAGTCTCGGTAACATTCCTAAACCAAAAGCTAGTGTTTTCTAACACTTTAAATAATGAGTTCACTAATTTAAATGAAAATATGTGTTTAATTATTATTAGGATTCCGTTAATTTCACGTACAACAACTCGAGGGTCCTCATTCCAGTCTCGTTGCTCGGCACATACACGCAACCAACTGTGAGTTCATACCCCTACACTTTTTCTGTTTTTAACGTATTCAGGGAGAATACAAGCAAGACACAAAGAAATTTTGTGATTATATATTAAAGATTTAAACAGGATTAAAACTTATGCAATTGATACAATCAAAAGATTATTACATTTTATAAAATACTTAGATATTTTATCCCTTTTGTAAAATGTTGAGCATAATGGAAGTTTTCAACATACAACCATAATTGCAAAGTTTTCAGAATAATACACGAATTGAATACATTAACAAACGTATAAACTATAATAGGTACAGTTTATGGAACAATTACCTATTCAATGCACGAAACATAGATTCAATGCGAACAAACATATAAACTATATAGGATATAGTTTAGGGGTCATACAAACAGTCATTTAAATTCAAATGATTCATTTTATTCTACACTTAATCTTTAGTATAGCTTTTTATGAGTGAGCATCTTCACGTACTTACCTAAGTACTAACAAAAGTCCTGAGATTATAACCAGAGTCTCCTGGAGGTAGAACGTGAGTTTGTGTATAGATCTATACAAGACTGACAATCCTGCACCGCAACTGTTAGCTACAGTTAGGCCGGCAGGCCTGGGTGACAAAGTCATTTCGATTCCGACGCCTGAAGAACGTTGTTCAAGCAATTCAATGGTCAAGTATTGTTATAACAACTCATAAATTTGGTAATCAATAATACGATTAATGTATGAATGGTATCAAGTTCAATGAGTTTTAGAACTACTATACATACCGGGGGATTCCAGGGTTTTTATACAAGAACATACTATACATTACTGGTGATAGCCAGGGATTTCACACCATAGTTTTCCTACAAAACAATACTATACAATTCTACTGATAGTATCCAGGCATATAAACTAACGCTTTCATATACAACTATAGTACATAGTAACGAACATACACTTCAATCTTAGGGTTTAAGACTACTTTTTAATACTAAAGAAAATATTGGATTTTCTTGAGAACATGTAAACATTTTATAGATTCACAGACAGGTTTTCATTACAAAAACATACTTATGAACTCACCAGCTTTAATGTTGATACTCTTTCAAAACCGCTTGTATTCTCAGGAAATTAGTAGACAGGTACTTCCGCAGGCTTTTAAGAAGACGGAGCTTATAGTGTCTCGTCTTTTATACTTTTGGTTATATATTTTTGCTGTATACAAACTATGTATCGAACAGATGTAAATACTTTACTTATTCAATGTAATGCTTGTGTTTACTTTGATTACTATGATGTAATTGTTGTGATACCATACATGACGTCCTCCACCCCCGAACGTTTCCGCCGTTCCGGTTTAGGGGTGTGACATACTCAATAGGAAGCATGAATGGAAGTGACATGTGGCCCCCAACAGACTACATACCACCTTTGCCACCATTGAAAAGGAAGATGCCAGGGAGACCCAGTATTAAGAGAAAGAGGGGCAGTACTGAGGATAGTGGATCACACAGAGTATCCAAGTCAGGAAAAAAGATTGTCTGTGGTGTTTGTAAAAAGGCAAGCCACAATAAGTCAACCTGTGATGCAGTGTCAAAGACCCAAAAAAGTAAGGTCATAAAGAGGAAGGCTGAAGGTAAAGGTGAAACTAGTGCATTGAAGAAAGTGAAGGGTGAAGCTAGTGCATTGAAGAAAGGGAAGGGTCAAGTGCAAAGGGGAAATGGTGTAAATAAGGGAAAGGGTGAAGGTGAAGGTGGAAGTGGAATTGGTTTCAAAACGGGACAATGTGAATATGGGTCAACAAGTGTTGTGAATAAGAAAAATGGTACAAAAGAAGGTACAGTGAAGTTAAGAAAAAATTCCGAGAGGATAATAAAGAAAAAGTTGACAAAAAAGGTTGAAGGCAAAAACGGTGAAGGTGATACTTCAACCAAACCAATGGATTTGGATTAAAGGTGTTTTGTTTATGGAGTATGTTAGTTACGGTTAGATGTCTTTATTTCATGTTTGTTATGGTCTTGTTAAGATTGCTAACGTGTCTTTAAAACACCAACTTATGACATTAATGAATGCATGGATGTTTGTTTTTCGTTTGTAACATGAATGTTTGTGTTTTGGTTTAAAACATAACATGAATGTTAGTTTGTGATTGTAACATGAATGTTTGTTTATGATTGTACTTCCAAGGTAATTCATATAACAATGTACTTCCACATAACAATGTACTTCGACTACAACTGAGGTTATTGTGTTAGTTTGTGATTGTAACATGAATGTTTTTTTTATGATTGTACTTCCAAGGTAATTATACATAAAAAAGTACTTTCATATAACAATGTACTTCCACATAACAATGTACTTCCACATGAAAAAATTAATATACACAGTTAACATAACAAAGGGTACTTCGTCTACATTACTAAATATTAGAATAATATCATATGTAGAACAATGGTTAACAAAGTACTTTCATATAACAATGTACTTCCACATAACAATGTACTTGGACTACAAATGAGGTTATTGTGCTACCAAAAACCCCCAAAAAGATGGTTCTAAAAACCCTAACATCGTCAACAAGCACCACTGATCAAAATAACCACCAACACATACCCTAATACATACATATTATACTAGCAGATGACGAACTTAGAAAAAAACAAAAAACCTTCGACAACCCATTAACCCAAAAAACACTAATCGTCATCGTGCTACCTACGAACTAAACTAGACCCCCCCAAAATCCCCACCCAGCGCATTCGACACAAACATGAACCCCGATTAACGACATCACTGCAACTCCAACTGCACCCATCACGGCCACTATCCTTTTCAAGTAGCGTATTTCCTCCCTAAACTCGCCAAGATGTTGTCGCAGTTCATCTCTCATTTCCTCAATCTGGAGTTGGGTTTCCATGGCGTGAAGCTCGTAATCAGTTGGTACGTCTAGGTCTGAAACTCTGAAACCACCATACGAAAAACTTTGTTCTTGATTTATAAGTGGGAAAAAGCGAACTCGGTGGTATTAAGTGAAGGTTACGGATTAGGGTAACAAAGTGGGTGAGGAAGAGGGATTTAGGGTATCCCTTCAATTTATAAGGGGGACCATTAACGATGACTAGGCAATCTTGGGGACCAAGATTACAACAGTAATAATCCACGGTGGAGGCCCATGTCATGAAAATATGGGTTATACCTTTTACAATCGGTAAAAGGATGTAATTAAACGGTCATATGAGAGTTTATTCCTTTAATGTGCAAAAAAATAGGTTAGTGACCTTTTAAAACAAAAACAATAAGTTTGATGGGCTAATATGACATTTGCCATTTATCTATTAAAGTTACAAAAAGTTGTTTAAACTAGAAAAAACTTCATCTGACATCCATACCTTGATCGAAATATCATTAAAAAGATTGTTAGTCAATATAAGGCATTCCAAATTTACAACAATAAATTACATGTGCAACTTGAAGAGTAAAAAATTCATACATGCTATCTTCATGTAACTCATTTTGTCCTTTTCCTAATCATCATGTATCTGCAACAAAACATGGAAATTGCAGCACACTATATCGTAGTGGAATGTAAAATACACAAGAAATAAGTCAATAAGTCTTTCAGACTACCACTTTAACACATGTATTCATTTAAAGTGTTGAGCCTCCCAAATTCCATGAATATATCTAGTGATTTCTCCAGGCTTTTTATGCACTCTCTAAGTTTGCAATAATATGAAAATAGACTTCTTTAAATTCTGATAGAAGTTGCATTCAAATTAGGAGGACAAAGAAGAAAATATTTCATGTGATTATGTATATTTACAAAACCATAAACATAAAGAATGGGTGCCAAATTCATATGGTTTATGAGATTAGCAAAATCATATATGGAAGTTGAAAAGATAAAAACCTATGTTGTAAAAGTGTAGATTTTTGGATAAAAAGCATATGATGGTTTATTTGCATTTACACTTTAAACATTTTGTTACAGTATTCGAGGATGAACTTTAATCTTTTTTTATAGTCAATTATCTAATTCTTATTCTTAATGATCTTGTTAGTTCCATATTAGGGTAGGAATCAATAATCTAGTTTTTTGATGCAATCATCTCTTATTTTGGTTTTACACCAATTTTGAGTTAATATATGGATGGATTTTGTAGAACATGTGTTTAATAGGCCAAAGTTGAACAATATGTTTACCAAAAATAAAAGGTATGCATGAATTTTTCACCTTTATTAGAAAGGGAGATGCAATCATGAAGAACAACAAACTATAAATCTTCATTGATCGATGTTCATTAGAGATATCAAAAATCAAAACCCCTCATGAATCACCATAAAATCGACTTTTCGATGAAGTACCACCATTAATGTCTTCATTCAATGTTTAACACACATTGAAATTTTGTTTTGAAGTTTTAATTTAGGGAAAAGAAATGGAAACTAACCTATTCCATAGCTGCGCACCAATTTTGTCCCAAACCGGAAACTACGCATCTAGGAATTCCTTGTTAAATGTAGTAACCTCCATTGTAGAACTTGTATATATAGCTCACAGAAAGTGGCAGTGATCAATGGAAAAAGTAGTACCTATAAACGCATAGACGCAAAGCTGAGGAAGAAGAAGAGGACAACAACAAGGACAATCTCTAGAAACAGACGTTAGACATAAAAGAGAAGCAAAGAATAATGAAAATAGAGGAAATGAAATATCATAGAAAGGGAAATCATAGACGACAGAAAATCAATCGAGGAATCTATTACTTGAAAGAACAACGAAACATAGAAAGATGACGACAAGAGAAGAGGTGAAGGAAATTCAATGAATCCCCAAAAAAAACGCCACACAGAAACAAAAAGGAGCGCCTCGAGAAGAAAACCCAACCGAATAGAATGAGACTTGGATTAGCTTAAAACAACTACTGTTCACGGTCCTATTCGACTTTTAATATGTATAATAATTGGTAACTACATTTACCTTTCAATAAATATTCGACTTTTAATATGTATACTAATTGGTAACTACATTTAACTTTTAATAAATACCCATTCAACATGTACTCTTATGTTTATGTTTAAGGGGATAAATTGATGTTTGGTCAGACATCTAATTCGCTGTCTCTTAATGGTGAAAATAATCATTTTAAGCCTCTGAACTGTTTGGTTGGATATCCGAACGACTGTGCTGAATGATCTTGAATTTGTAAGTAATTATAAATAAAATACAAAACGTCATATAAAAACCAACTAAACATAAAACATTATGTTCATGCGAGTCAAGAGAAGGGTGAGGAAGTGTAAAAGATGATCCCCATCCATGAATGTCAGTTGTAGCCGACCCGTTGAATAATTGAACACAAAGATCAAAGATGGTACACTAGTGGAGAAGTTCTCAAAGTTTCTACAATTTTGTTCGACTACTTGAAAATATCATAAATATTATGAAATATTATGAAATATTATAAAATATTATGATATATTACTTCTTATCAAAAATCACAATACATTGATCTCTAGTTCCTATTCGTCTTCTTCCATGTTAAATGTGAAAGTTATAGAGTTATAAATGTTTTCTATTTTGTTTTTTAATTTCAACCAAGCACCAAAGTTTGCTTTTAGGTAGCCGTATCAGTTTTTCATTTGTTTTTGATCAACTACAAAATGTATTTTTTTAATCTTCCAGCTGCATTCTTCCATGAGCTTGCTTTCAAACTACTCCCTTCACGTCCGTACGTTGTAATTTCATGAATACAAGCTTCAAGAAATATTTTTTCAACACCTTCTATCTGTTTCTAATTAATTCTAGGCCCTTTTTTTGTGCCATTTGTGCCATGTCTAATATTCAAAATTCAGCAATAACATGTTTCAACAACAAAATCCAGAAACATAACAGAAAAATCAAGCAAAATCATAGCAGCAAATCAGCAAGAACATATATTTTTGGACTTTTAATCACATATAAGTAGCAAATCTACAAGAACACAACAAAACCACAACAATATGACTAACAATCGATCAGATTTCACACAAATTGTTCACCCAAACACAAATTGATCAACCAGCATAGCAAGACAGTAAGAACACAACACATTATTGGTTTCATGTTCAAAGGCAAATTTATGAGAGGTATGCTTAAAAAATCGACCCATTGAACAAAGTAGAAAAACATACTAGCGAAAGGGGAGGCAGCAAGGACGGAGGCGACGAAGGTGGAGGTGGACTGGGGCTATAGGAGGTCCGAATGCAACCTGAAATCGGCGCTTCAAGTGAGGAGGACGAGTGTTCGTTTGTCGCGGAAGCACAAGTGGGAAGAAAAAAAGAGGCGGACACGATATCTGTTTTTTAGGGCAAGGGCATCAAAGGAAAAACTATTCGGTCCGACCAAATAAGGCCCCTTTTTTAATGTCTGGCCGATTAAGAGGTTAAAATAGCTTCAACCAAAGTCATCCTCTTTATAGGATCATTATGAGGTCAAACAAACAGCCCCGAAGTATAGTAGCCGTTTACCCGCGTTAAGTGATGGGTGCGAATAGTTTTTCATAAATTATTTTTTAGAGGCGATTAGTTCATTTACGCAAATAATTACTACATCTAAACAATTATCAGTAAGATTCATTCTATCAGAAACGAAATCAATAAGAATTAAAAACGAAACGTTTGGATTTTTTACAAATGTACATACATGATTGATTGTGCATTATTAATTATGAGTTGAGACCTATGGAAATTTTAAATTAATATTTATGATATTTTATATTTTCATTGTTTTTGTCCTACCATGTCATATTAACAATTTGTAAGCCTTATAGAAATTTCTTTTAATCCCTTAAAATGGTTTTAGCATTATCCTATTTGTTAAATTCAGTTTAAATGTTTAGAAATTTATAATTATTAACGTGTTGTATTGTTCTCATAAGTTTTAATAGCATTGACTATAACCCAATTTAAGGGTTATTTGTTTTTATGAGCTCTCCATTAATTAATCGAGTCTAAATAACTCAAAAAAAAAAAATTAATATCAAACTACTCAAATTTTAAACTACCCTTTACGTGGTAAATTGCTTTATAAAATACCTTTTTATTTTTTATTTTTACATTTAAATCATCATATGAACTTGAGTTGCCTTTTAGTATGTCTTTTATGGATGATTGCTTTAAGATTGTATTAAAGGACGGAGAAGCCTAACTTGACCACATTTTAATCTAAGCAAGATATATTACAGGATCAAACATTAAAATTAGTATAGTAGCATACTAGCATCACTTCATATATATGTGAAATGGGGTTCAAAAAAATATTTTAATTGTAAAATACATTTTTCTAAAACAAAATCAAGATTTTCTTCAGCTTTTTAAAGTGAACGTTAAAAAGATTTAAGAAAAAGAAATGAGAAATGCAAGAGCAATTCAATCAAAGAAATGAGTTCAACTTCCATAAGATATCTATATTATAAGAAAAAAATGGAACATAAACTCAATACAACATGTATAAACTCAATACAACATGTAGTTACTTTTAACTAAATAAATATTTACAATTTCGCATTTTTTATGCAATTAAAACACAAACTCAAACTCTATTTGGTATAAGGCCATATATTCACCCTAAAATGTAAGAAAATAAGGCATATATGTTCATTTTTTCACCCAGATTTGCCACAGAGGGTATGTGCGAAACACCTTCCTGAAATATCACAACAATAATATACATAATTAGATTTGCTAACTGGGATAATAATTGTATACAAGCCATTCTTGATTTCATAAGTTCCCTTGCCCTTTTAGCTATATTTAAAGTTTCAATGACAATGTAAAAGTGAAGCAAACACATAATAAAATGGTTTCAAATAACTACAGCAAGAAGCTTTAATTATTATCATGTCTAAAATCATGAACATTACCGTATCTTTAACCCAAAAGTGCAGCCACCATGAAGAGCATTAGTCATTCACATCCATTCACACACACACACTTATTCAGTCACATAAACACAGTCACACAAACACAATCATATAACCACACACATACAATGCCAAACTTAAACACAAATAACCACAAACATATAATAACAAAAAGATAATTGCAATATTTGCTGGGAAATTTAAAAAAAAAATTAGAAAATTCTGATTTGGAGAATTATGTAGAAAAAATAAAATCCCAATATCTTAATTCATCAAGTCCATACCTCCTTAGGTTGTTTATCATCTTCAGATTTTGAGATTATGTGATCAACAATTGATCGTATAAAGAATTGCATATGCAAACCTTTCTGTAAAGATGAATCAAAATTACATAATTAGATTGAACAATACTTATAGATCATTATGTTTGATACTTGTGACAACCGTCGAAATTCGAGTTGGTTCTAGATTTGACTAAGCTTAGTTGCACGTATAGGAACGAAACATACTAGACTTAGTAACTAGAAACTGAGTTATAACCTACTAGAATCTTCGAAACAAGTAGAATCAAAGGATAGTGTACCTAGATTTCACATTGATATGTGAATTCTACAACTACTTTAACTGTAGCGACTATCCAAATTCAGGTCATTACTTGACTTGAACATCTTTGCATGAATCATGTAGACACATCATGAACTTGACTTAGTAGTATAAATTAGGTCAAAGTCTCGTAGGAACTTAAGTCAAAGTTGAAACTATGACTAGTATACTTGGTTCTTCAATTTCACTTGAATCTCGGAACCAGTGCATAGAAATGCCAATAAACCAACAAAAACAAATTACAAACATTATTTATAAGTATAAAAGAGTTATAATAATAAAAAATAATTTGAAGTCTCAAAGATTCATTTTATTTTGATATCTAATGTTTAGCAAATTCTGAAAAACCCTAAAAGCCCTAAAAACTCAAATTTATAAACTTTAACACCTAAAACTCCAAAAAATCTGTTATGAACCTTATAATATCAATTTCAAATGATTAACTTCAAGAAAATATAATCACGAAAAAAAAAGACATTAACATTTACCTTTGATTTATAAGTCAAAAATCAAGGTTTTATAAATAAGATTTAGGTTATGGTGCATATGTTATAAAAACTTCATAATTTTATAAAATATATGAAATTTATAAAAATGGAAGAGAGGGAAACCCTCTCTCATCCCCTCAAATTCGTTCTCTCTCTCTCCCTCTCTCTCTCTATCTCTCTCTCTCTCCCTCCCACTAACTCTCTTTCCAAAGTAGAAATCATTTATGTCACTCTTACACTCTTTCTCTCATTCCTCCCAACACTTCATCATCATCACCACTCAAACTCTATCTAATCTTTATCTTCCTCTCAAACATGAAATTTTCCAGAAAATATAATCTCATGACACTCAAAACTTTCATCATCAAGTGTTGTTCTTGAGGTAATCACAAAAACCTTCATTCTCCCTTCACTTTTTCCTTCACAACTTTGTGTTTTCATGCACATTTTCTACTTCTATACCATTGTATGGATGGATTATGAATTATATGTTCATAACCATGAT